CGTGATTTGACCCAAACAGACTGATTTACATAAATAAAAATTGTATTAAACAAATCGTATACTCTATTTATATTTAATTATGATTAAAATGCTGTTATCGTTTTTTGTAACCATAATAAAATTAAAATAAATAAATTAATTAAAGTAGTACAATGCATATTAATAAACTTTTACATTTGGCAGTTTGCCATAAATTTATGCTTTTAATTTAAAAAGTCCGTAAAAATCCCTTTTTGACTAACTCATATCAATGGCATCCATTTAATAAGTCTGAAATTCCAATTAACTTGAGTCTGCTAATGAAAAAGAAACTTATACGGAAGTATGGTATTTCGAATTATTAATATCGTTATATCAATAAAGCTACGGTTTAATTACAGAAGAAATAAGTACCCTAATAAAAATAAATCAGAATAAACAGCTAAAAAGTATTTCATATCCAATTTTCCTAAAGTAGTTTAAATAAATGATGCTTTAAAATATGAAAAAGATGCTATTAGAGTCTTAGGATTTTTGAAGCAAGAGAACGTGAAATGTGTGCAATGCCTTCGCCGGAACTCGAACCTGGATCTCTCGAATACGCGCCGAGTGTGCTGTTGTTATACCACGAAGGCATGCTGGAAGGAGGGAGAAAATATCTTATGAGATCTTTCAAGCAAAATATAAACAGAGTTAAATAAAATTTTACATTGTATATTTTGTTTAGTGACTTCAAATCTATCAATTAAAATAATCATCCATTGAAGGCCTCCAATCACCTTAGCACGGAGATCCTGCATATCTTCAGTAAAATTTAGTCGTGTTTCAAAACATTCATTATTTTGATTTCTAAACATTTTAATCTCTCTGTTTTCAAACCTGAGATTTACGAAGTTTAATAACAAAAGCAGAAGACGAAAACGACGTGCATAAATATATTGAATTCTCAACTTCTGCAGGGAAATTCGAAAATTGCGACATACTTGAATAACACCAAGAAAGGTAAAAAATTGCTTTTTGCGTAGTTTTAATATTGATTTATCATATGTTATCAGCTACTCCAACAGAAAATGGGAAAATGATTATAAGAAGTACAGAAATATAAAAATAAATAAATAAATAATTAAAAATCTGAAAGGTTTCAGTTTTAAATCGAGCATATCTTTAGAATTTTCGATACAAAGTATCGCGCGCTGGAGATAAAAATATTTTTTCTGTACAACGTTGCCATTTCTCGCTTAGAAATCTTTGAGATTGTTAATCAAAAATTCGTTAAACTTTTACAAAATATGAGAAAAATAATTAAACAAATTCAAAATATATTCGGCTGGAAACTTACGTTATTCAAAATTTGATGGCTGTAGGTACCGTTGTTTTATCACAATGTGAGAAATAGACATGCATTTATGCAGATTTTTCATTATTTAATTTCTTCAAATATAATGCAGGACTCTAACATTTGGTGGCAACAGTTTGAAAAGTGAAACGGACATTTACCGTGAACCAACGCAAAATCGCAAAACGCAAAACGAGAACAATAGTCCTTCAAGGACAAAGTCCCTTTGGACTAATAAACTGTTTCTTGCTGTTTTGCCAGAGTAAGTTTATAGATGATATAAAGGTGTAACTTTATTTACCGTATTTTACTCAACAAAGAAGAGAACAAACATATCACATTGCATTAACGATTAACTACAGAAGGTGTTTACGCATTTTTTAGAACAATTTCATAGTCCTTTAGTTAATGTTCAAAAAGTAAAGAATAACTTACATTTTTAAATGTTCGATCTGATCTGATTTAAATGATGATAATTTTTAAATGTTCGATCTCTTTTCTCAACTGCGAGTCTGCATCGTGATTTCCATGATACAGAGGCTTTTCGTAAAATTTCTAGGGGTTATGGTTTCCGCTGTCTCCTGGTAGAAATGATCGGATATATCACAACTGCTAAATACTATGCTTTCGTTTTTTGTTAAACAATTATATTATGTTAGCTCTTCCGCTACTTTCCAGAATTCATATTATCATGAAAGAACTCATTTCAGGAGACCAAACGCATAATCGTCCATAGGTGAAACATCAGAGGCCTTCGCAGGAATATGGTGAAAAGGTATATATGCAATACCCATCTCCATTTTTTCAAAGAATGCAATGGTACTTTTCGAAGTATGACTTGTTGATTTGTCTTGATGAACTTTCTCTCTCTGAAAGTCATTGGGATAAAGAAATGGAATTTCTTCTGTAAATATCCAACGTAAAACTTTCTTTTGATAGTACGTTCAGTTGATTTTAAAATTTTATTCCCCACTCTTATTTTTAATTTCCCATTGTAAGAGAATCTTGCGACGGTCATAAACCCCTCTCTGAACATTTTTTTTTTACATTGACAGAACCGGATTTGCTCATTTTCTCTCTTCGTTTTCCGTAATAAATAGACATTTTTTTTTTTTTCCTGCAGTCATTTAAGTAAACCCATGCAAGAATCATATGTGTTTACATTTAACTCCTGCTAACTAGTTTTCATATAGGGTTCTACAAATTGTTCTGCGTTGAGTCACATGCCTCTGCAAAAGCTGGTGAACATTGCGTTTTTTTTAGCTGTTTTTAGTTGTAAATCTTGTTTTTTGCTGCAGTCATTTAAGTAAACCCATGCAAGAATCATATGTGTTTACATTTAACTCCTGCTAACTAGTTTTCATATAGGGTTCTACAAATTGTTCTGCGTTGAGTCACATGCCTCTACAAAAGCTGGTGAACATTGCGTTTTTTTTAGCTGTTTTTAGTTGTAAATCTTGTTTTTTGCTGCAGTCATTTAAGTAAACCCATGCAAGAATCATATGTGTTTACATTTAACTCCTGCTAACTAGTTTTCATATAGGGTTCTACAAATTGTTCTGCGTTGAGTCACATGCCTCTACAAAAGCTGGTGAACATTGCGTTTTTTTTAGCTGTTTTTAGTTGTAAATCTTGTTTTTTGCTGCAGTCATTTAAGTAAACCCATGCAAGAATCATATGTGTTTACATTTAACTCCTGCTAACTAGTTTTCATATAGGGTTCTACAAATTGTTCTGCGTTGAGTCACATGCCTCTACAAAAGCTGGTGAACATTGCGTTTTTTTAGCTGTTTTTAGTTGTAAATCTTGTTTTTTGCTGCAGTCATTTAAGTAAACCCATGCAAGAATCATATGTGTTTACATTTAACTCCTGCTAACTAGTTTTCATATAGGGTTCTACAAATTGTTCTGCGTTGAGTCACATGCCTCTGCAAAAGCTGGTGAACATTGCGTTTTTTTTTAGCTGTTTTTAGTTGTAAATCTTGGTGTATTACTTTGTTTATTGTTGCTACAGATTTATTTGAAAATGATTTTTGTATCCGCGGATTTTCTCTTGTTATCATCGATTTAACTTAGAAGAAAAGGAATAGCGTCTTGTTACTCATTATGACTGTTTTGAATTCTCTCAGCGTCATTTTCAAGCTGTTATGCATTCATTCAAATTCCATGCTCTGGTTTCTCAGTTACGTAGCCTTTCAGTTCAAACCAATCCACTGAAATGGACTAGCAATTCTGTACCGCTGTCTCCTGGTGGAAATGATCGGATATCACAACTGCTAAATACTATGCTTACGTTTTTTGTTAAACAATTATATTATGTTAGTTTTATTTATTAGCAGTTTTTTCATTGACTGAGATGACTGAAAAGCATAAAATCCTCTTATTCGACTCACTGATTAAGACCGTTAATTTTTTAATGCTTAGATTTTAGGTTTTTAGATTTGTATTCTTTGGACTTCTGTCACAGTAATTTATATGGTTCAGAAGTTTTATGTAGATGTCGGCTACACTATAATAAGTTAAATACTGTAACTTATTCTTCATCGCAACCTATGCTGAAACCTATAATGAGATTATTTCGTGTCTGAAAAAACCTTCATCGATTTTGGGAGCGTGTGTCTCGCTGTTAGTTGAACTATGATTCGAAGCATCTTTTGGAAGAAAGTTTTGGTGTGTACTTGATTTCGGAGTTTTGTTGGCGGCTTTAAGAAAACAGTTTTATATTTATTTATGCTCAAGTTAACGACACTTTAAGTTTTGTCTTATACATGAAGAAAAGTTATTGATAAAATAAAATTTTAGTTACTGTTATTTAGCTTTTTACAAGTTCCTCTTAGTATTGCTGGCTATAAGTATGGTATTGACATTTATATAAACTAAACTAGGCTGTTAGATTAAAATTAGGCTAAAAGAAGGATAAAAATATGGAATTTAAAGTTAAGAGTTACATGATTAAAGCTTCTTGATGCAATTGATAAGCACATTTTTTCTTTGCTCTTGTAAGAGAATTAATTGTACGCAATCATAGAAATTTTTACATCATACCTTCAAGGAGAATTGAAGTAGTCTGCTCTTAATAATAATAATAATAATAATAATAAAAGACTTCCCAAGGTGGGAAAAAGTAAGCAAAAATATTTGGAAATAATTTTGTGGAAGAAGAATAACGTTTACTTCAGATTTCAAAGTAGTAGTTCAGAATCATTTTGATATGTGTAAAGTATAATACTGGAGTATTGATATTTACTTAAATTTTTATGATTAGAAGAAAGGTTCATTTCCTTCTGAACGATATTTTATTAATATATTACGATTTCTAAGAATGAAGCATCTTTTCACAGAATGCATTCTGTCAATTTGATAAATTTAGTTTGCTGAAAACATACGACTGAAAATGATATGATTTTGTTAAAACGTTTTCCTTAATTTTTTATGATGTTTTACTAGTACACTATAAAGTAACATGGACTAATTTGCCTTACTAAATAATAACTAAATGAATTTCATGTTTCTCAAAATGTAAAAGTAGAGATAGCTGCAAAATTCGTTGCTTCCAATAATACTATTTTGTTTTTTGGCACTGAATTTTCTTCTAATTTTAAATAGTAATATTTTTTTTTCTTCCTGTTTATATAAATAAGAAAAGAAAGTTGCTAAGAAAAGCTCATTTTTTTTCTTTCTCCAGCGTGCCTTCTTTCAGCAGCGAAAGAACGGCCAAGTCTCGTCGACACGTACCGTAGCACATACGGTTCATACCTAGGGGACTGCGACGGTAAAGACGGCGAGGATTTGGTTGGCAAAGGCCCCCAGTCTTCACCGGGATTGGAGGGGTCTGAAGGAGACTGTGCATCGGATGTGAAGAAGCCCCTTCACCCGAAATTAGTGAATGTTAACGCAACCCTGGAAACGAAATCACTGTGGGATGAGTTCAATGAATTGGGCACGGAAATGATAGTCACCAAAGCTGGAAGGTAAGACTGCATTTTTAGAAACTGCTTTTAGTGCTTTTCGAAAACATTTAACATGGATACCCATCCAAGTTCTATAAGTGCTTGAGACAAATACATTTAAGAATTATTATTTTCGTTTTGCGATTTTGCGTTGGTTCACTATAAATGTCCGTTTTACTTTTCAAACTGTTGCTACCAAATGTTAGAGTCCTGCATTATATTGGAAGAAATTAAATAATGAAAAATCTTCATAAATGTCCGTTTTACTTTTCAAACTGTTGCCACCAAATGTTAGAGTCCTGCATTATATTGGAAGAAATTAAATAATGAAAAATCTTCATAAATGTATGTTTATTTCTCGCATTGTGATAAAACAACGGTATATAGAGCCATCGAATTTTGCATGACGTAATCCTACTGCGAATATGGGCATGTGGAAGCCCAATTTTGAAATTTGGAATTTGTTTTATTATCGATTTCGTATTTTGTAAATCTTTAGCGAATTTTTGATTAACAAACTCAAGGATTTCAAAGCGAGCAATGGCAACGTTGCACAGAAAACACAATTTTATCTCCAGCGCGTGAGATTGCATATTGGAAATTCTAAAGATATGGTCAATTTAAAACTGTTTTGCGATATTGCTGTTGAACTTAATTTTATGGTTTAAGTGCGTAGAATGTGATATTTAATAAATAAAGGTAACAGACAAAATGTTAAAACGCCGTAATTTAAAATCTGAAACCTTTCAGATTTTTTATTTTATTTTTTCTTTAATTTTTATTTCATTTATTTATTTATTTATTTATCCCAAAGGAGCAATTTGCCTAGAACGGCTATTAATTTAATTTTAGCATTTTGTGTCGTCCACTATAAATGTCTGAATAACTTTTCAACTTGTTGCCAGCAAATATTAGAGCCCTGCATTATATTTAAAGAAATTAAATAATGAAGAATCTGCATGAATGTATGTATGTTTTTCGCACTGTGAAAAAACAACGGTACCTAGAGCCATCAAATTTTGAATGACGTAATCCTTCACTTGAATATATTCGGGCAAATTTGGAATTTGTTTTATTATCTATTTCATATTTTTTAAAACATTAACGAATTTTTATTAAGAAACTCAACTATTTAAAAGCGAGCAGTGGCAACATTGTATGGGGGGGGGGAATTATCTCCAGCGCGTGAGACTAAAGATATGCTCGTTTTAAATGTTTTGTGATATTGCTGTTGAATTGAATTTTATGGTTTAAGTGCGAAGAGTGTGATATTTAATAAATGAAAGTAACACACGGCAATTTGAGCGTAATATAAAATCTGAAAACTTTCAGATTTCTTTTTCTCGAGAGATAGCTGCAGGTTATTAGATATTGAAGAGTCCACAAATTCTCGTATCTGAATTAATATATCTCAACTCCAAAATTTAATTAAAAGAAACCTTACTTGAATAAAACTAGATTAAATAATTTAAAATTATAGATATAGGACAAGTTAGAAATTTCCTACTGCTCGAAAGATGAGTGGATTTGCATTTTCAAATTTTTCTGATCTTCAAACGATTCTTACCAAAATTAAATTTTAAGATTAGAAGGAATTAAAATTCCAGTGTGAGCTTCCAATCTGAAGGTCTTTGACTCTATTCTCGGCAACAGCACTGTCTAATTTTGAATTCTTCTTTGCAGAAGTCATCTTAATGGTTTAACAAAATGAAATAAAAACTATCTGGCCAGGTAAATTTTTACTGTTAAACAAAGCCCTCTTCTTTTATTAAAGCGAAATTTTTATCGAAAATTAAACTCAGCGTCTAAAAAAGATGTCATCCGAAATATTTTGACAAAAAAGAAACACTCTTGAAATTTTCTCTACTTAATGTAGAAGAAAAATATGATGTGTAATTGAGAGCAAAAGTTACATCTTTTACGTAAATTATCACAAGTCCCAAAGAGGCAATCTGCCCAGAAGTGTTATTAATTTCGTTTCGGCGTTTTGCGTTGATTCACTATAAACGGCGAATCACTTTTTAAATTGTTGCCACCAAATATTAGAGCCCTATATAATATTTGAAGAAATTAAATAATGAAAAATTTTCATGAATGTATGTATGTTTCTCGCATTGTGATGAAACAACGCTACTTAGAGCCATCCAATTTTGGATAACGTACGTCCCCACCCCAATATAGGCATCTGAAAGCACAAATTTGGAATTTCGAATTTTTTAAATTATCTGTTTCATATTTTGTAAAGCATTTATGAGTTTTAGAGTAAGAAACTCAACGATTTCAAAGCGAGCAATGGCAACACTGTACGAAAAAAAAAAAACAGTTTAATCTCCAGTGCACGAGAAATTCTAAAGATATGCTCTTTTAAATTTTTTTTTGTGATATTGCTGTTCAACTGAATTTTATGGTTTAAGTGCGAAGAACATGATATTTAATAAATAAAGGTAACACAAAAAATATTTAAAAAACTCCCCTTTGGGCGTAACATAAAATCTGAAAGCTTTCAGATTTTTTTCCGTTTTATTTATTAACGAAATATCATAGCACAAAATACTGTGTTTGAAAAATAAATAATTATTCTGCCCTTCCCATTGTGTCTGCTTCACTACTTGTAGATGGAATATCTCCCTCATTGTTAAGTGTGTTTACTGTTCCTTTAAATACCTTAGTGCGTAATATTTTTTATGATTTTATAATTACTTTGCGATAAAATCATTCATACAGAAGACAGCTAAAATGGACAGGTTGTAAATTTTCGAAACATTGAATTTTGGATGGTCTGAAATTTTCGTAACTAATATTCAGATTTCAGGTCTTTTAAAGAAAGTAAAAGAAAAGTTATGTCTTTAGGTGATTCTTTTGTATTTTATGCTTTGTTAGATTATGTTCAGTTTATGACTATGTGTATTACATTTTTTAAGTTTGATTTATTTTACGCATAGCGAGAATACAATATATTTTCGCTTGGTTTGTTTGAACATTTTTATTTAAATAGCCTTATGCATGAATCAATATGACCTCTTCAGCATCTGTCTAAATACAAAATTCGCAACAATAGTGTTTTCATTTTTTTCCCAATGGCAGCAAGATTATTGATAAAGTATTTATTATTTGAACTAATTGTATTGAAAAATAATATGGAAGAATACAAAACGATATCTGGCTTTTAAAAGATTTGATGCTAGAAGTACACGGCAAATACCTTTTGGAAGCATTCTTTGAAACTCTGAAATAATTAAATCATTATACGGTCAGACATTGATGTTGCCATTGATGTCTGTAAATCAGAACATGAGAACAGGTATCGTAAGTTATCGCATCGCGAAAATATATGCAGCATATTTTCATGTGTAATATTACCATAGGCCTATAAATGAATATAGGGATAAAAGTTTAGAAAATTTTAAATGTTAGAATAGAAAGGAACAGACTGACTTTTTCTTTTTACAAAAACGCTTTTTCTTTCATTTATATTTTACGAGAATAATTAATAGTAAATTACCCTTATTTGGTGGCAACAATATGACTTACAGTTTTTTAATACAATGCGCTAGTCTCTATGAACACTTCTCTGAACATTCAGCAAGTTCGTTTCCTTGACGACAAGAGTCTAATCCTTAGTCATATATAGCATTGAGTAGCCATTGTTTGCACCATTAACAAATTATTATCCATCAAGACAGTAATTGTCATGCTTTTGTGTGAAACTGCTGTGAATCCTTTTATAAACCGACAGCATATATTATGCGCATTGTCTTCTGTGATAACCATTGATAAATTTCTTTGCCGATCAGCATTAGTGACGATTGTGAGGCGGATTCAAATTGTTGACATCATTTATTATGGCGTAGTGTGATCAGGTTTTTTTTTTTTTTTTTTTTTTTTTAGTCCAAAGGGATTTGAATCCCGAAGGACTATTAGTTTCGTTTTGGCATTTTGCGTCGGACGGATAAATGTCGGTTCACTTTTCAAACTGTTGCCACAAAATGTTAGAATCCTGCATTATATTTGAAGAAATTAAATAATGAAAATCTGCATAAATGTATGTATATTTCTCGTATTGTGATAAAACAACGGTACATAGAGTCATCGAATTTTGAATAACGTAATCCTCCAACGAATATGAGCATGTGGAAGACCAAATTTGAAATTTGAAATTTGTTTTATGATCGATTTCCTATTTTTTAAAACTTTGACGAATTTTTGATTAACAAACTCAAGGATTTCAAAGCGAGCAATGGCAACGTTGTGCAGAAAAAACATTTTTATCTCCAGCGCGTGAGTCTCTGTATCGGAAATTCTAAAGATATGCTCGTTTTAAAACTATTTTGCGATATTGCTGTTGCACTGGATCTTATGGTTTAAGTGCGAGGAACATGATATTTAATAAAGAAAGGTAACACACAAAATGTTAAAAAACGCCCCTTTGGACGTAATTTAAAATCTGAAACATTTCAGTTTTTTTTTTTTTTTTTTTTTTTTTTTAAGCAGGAAACATGAGAAATGAGCAATCCCCTGGACCTCTCGAATACGCGCCGAGTGTGCTAACCGTTACACCACGTCCATGCGGAAAGGAAAGAGAAAATACTCCCCCCTTTTAAAGGGCGACTGGGAATTAAAGGACCCAGTCGCCAAATCCTGGTGGTGAAGAATCATCATCCACCATCTTTTAGTTCAGACGCCACTGTAGATTTATTGGTTTATTTTGAAGCTGGAAGAAGTGAAAAATGAGCAATGCCCTCACCAGGACTCACTAACTTCCAACCTGTACCTGTCGAATATGCGTTGAGTGTGCTAACCGTTACGCCATGAAGACATGCAGAAACAACACTATCAAATAAATGAAATAAAAATAAATCAATAAATTTAAAATAATCAGTAGACAACAAGAATACCAATGAATTTTCGTGTATTGATAGCAGTATTAATTCCATTGTTTTATAAGAAGTCTATTGACGTCAGTTAGAAAATTGTTGTAAACCTATATAAAGCAATAGATGATTTATTTGGCATCTATTATA